GGGGGGGGTACTAAATAAATTAGTACATAAAATTTGAAAATTTGATTAGTTTTTCAAGTCGGAATATGATTAGTATCCGGGGTATTATTCAAAATCGAATTTTGATTAGTACCGAATGTGAATTTGAATAATACCCCGGTACTATTTGAAGGGGTACTATTACAAGGGGGTACTGTATGCAGCGCTATACGGTAAATGTCGCGTAGTGAATTTTTCTTAGCGCCGGCCAAATTCAGAGCCGATAAAATTAGTTATTATTTTTATTCATCATTATTTGGAAAAAAATGGTTTAAGCAACTCCGACAAATGGATATTATTAATTGAGTAACCTTTATTGTATGTATGGTATAGTTTTTTATTTTATACAGTATAATTTTTTATCTATGCTGAATAGTTACTTCAAATCTTAATATTTAAAGTCATCTTAATATTTAAAGTCAAATTTTTAACCCAAATCTTTAACCCTAATCCTAACTAATTCTAACCCAAATCCTATACCTGATCCTAACCCCCTAAAAATATACCGTATAACTAACTATACAGTATAGGCAATAATAAAACCTATACCATACATACAACGAGCGTCCTGGTACCGTTATTATTTCGATGAGTTAACAACTATCAATGATGTGTATAATTGATACATAAAATTATTTTTTATATAAATCAGTCCGCGGTTGAAATTTGATCGATATTATTTGTTATATGAACTTACAGTAGTTTAAAACTTAAAAAAACAAGTTAAATATTAAACTTTATATGGGTTCAATTTCAGTTTACATACAGTACGCTCTATTAATTTTTGTATAGGCGTGATAAGTTTGAGACATTGTAAAAGTGGATAGTATGAAAAGTACTTTGGACGATGGAGAAGAATATGATGATGGTAAAATCATCCAAGCGGAATATATGAACTATGAAGATGAGCAAATGCATATAATAAAATTGTACACAGTATTAGATCTGTGACTGTGATCAATGTATTACCATTTAACACTGCTTAAAATATTTCCGTTTTAAAGACTAAGTATAAATCATGGTAATAAAGGATCTAGGTTTAATACCATGCCTTATAAAAATTTTTTCAGAAAAATGATCATGTGTCCGAGTTTCTTCGGAATGAAAACTAGATCATTTATAGGAGTTTTTTCCAGAATTTTTTTTATAGGGCCAGGTGGTTGAATGAATGAGTATATATGACTTCCGTGCGTCAGGTGTCGATTTGCGTCAGATGACAGCTGACGCGCGTCAGATGCCAATTTTGAATAGTTTCTTATAAGTAAACATCTTTATTTATTAATTAAATTGTCTTTTATTTTATAAGTAAATCTGTGCATCATAATTATTTGCGTATATCCTGAAAATTTCAAGTAAATACCATTAATGCTGAATTATATATTGCAGATATATAATGTTATTCAAAGTTTTAGCTATAATTAAACATAAAATTTTTCAGTCTTAATGTGCCTTTATTGCCTAAGTAAATTAGTTCATCACATTTTTAAATATATTATAATGCTAAAATTTCAACACGTTCGGATTCATATTGGTGGAAATTTCCTTCTTTAAAATATGCAGTTGTCATCTGACGCAAATCGACATCTGACGCACAACATATATATGGTATGGTATTAAAAACTGGTATGTATGGTTAGTATGGTACCTACTTTCATATTAAAATGCTATACAGTATACATCTTTGACCATACCATATCGGTGTACCGTTGGTATGGTACTACAATCTCTATTAAAATTTCAATAGCATATATACAACGGAGGTCATATCATACTCATTATCGTCATACCGCGTACAACGAGGGTCATATCATATTCATTATCGTTGTACCGTTGGTATGATGCTACAATCTCGTATTAAAATTTCAATAGCATATATACAACGGAGGTCATATCATACTCATTATCGTTGTACCGTTGGGTATGGTGCTACAATCTCGTATTAAAATATACCGTATAGCATACGTACAACGGAAGTCACATCATACTCATTATCGTCATACAAGGGTCATATCATCGTTGTATCACACTCTCATATTAAAATCTATACGAGGCCATATCATACTCATTATCGTCATACCGGGATCTCCCTAGAGTAACCGTCTTTTTAACCATTAAATTTAAATTCAAAAGAATGAAAATTCTTAGATTTTTTTTTAAATGTTCTAAAATTCTATTCCTGAAAGCTCAGAATAGGTGTAAAGCAGTGATGTGCATTTATGCTTCCATAGTACAATCCAAATGGCTTTATTAGAAAATTATGCTTCCAATCTTTCCAAAGGTGTTTCCAATATTGCTTCCAATCTTCCAAGGGCACATCACTGGTGTAAAGTAAGCATGTTTGTAAGCACCTTATCAAAGTCACTCCTTAATTTAAGATAATTTTGGTCATGTACCGTACATACAAACGGGCAATATAATTTAACATCTGGAGCGGTTTAACTAATCGTTCTTTGGAATCAGGCTCATATACTGTAAGAGAATTTACTCTTAATCAGAAATTAAAACTTTATTTGGGATGTAAATAAGTCGAAGTGGATGGCTCATTTGGAAATGATATTAAAGACAACTTCACATCATGGATTTCAAAAAACAACAAAAACATAAATACGTAAATAAATAATTCATTCGTTCATACTTTTTATATCTGACGAATTTTTACGTGTTCCAAAGACAATCGCTAGTTGGGTTTATGACAAGATAACAACAACACAAATAAATAGAAAAAGTTATTTATCTTAATTTATTTTACTTAAATTCTTAACGGGATCTTAGTATTACATAATATCATAATTGATGCCTGCATCTTTGAATTTGAAAAAAAATTTACTAGGCTAGTCTAAGTAAAGTAAGAATCGAACTAATTAAGTTCAACGAAATGATAATTATCAATTTATCATCTCAGAAATGTTAACTGGTTAACCCCCAGTAAAATAAACCCCCAGTAAAAAAAATAAAATAAAAAATGTTAACCGGTAAACCCCCAGTAAAATAAACCCCAGTAAAAAAACAAAATAAACGAGTAATTTAATTACTCCTAGGAATGACGACACCTCTTCTTGGATGTCACGGTAAACCCCCAGTAAAATAAACCCCCAGTAAAAAAACAAAATAAACGAGTAATTTAATTACTCCTAGGAATGACGACACCTCTTCTTGGATGTCAAAGTATTCAAAGTATTACAAAATGGTATTATATTATTTAAAGTTTTTAAATGGTAATGGATTAATATTCGAAGATTGTATTATAATCCTCCTACTGGAGATTATTTGTATTATATTCCTCCTACTCGGAGATTATTTGTATTATATTTTCTTACTTCCTACCGGAGTATTATTTGTATTATATATTTATATTTAAATTTTAAATGGCAATGGATTAATATTCGAAGATTGTATTATAATCCTCCTACCGGAGATTATTTGTATTATATTCTTCTTACTTCCTACCGGAGTATTATTTGTATTATATCCTTCTTACCAGAGGATTGTATTATATTCCTCTTAACATATTATTTGTAATATTTAAATCCTTAACCGGATGATTGCAGCAATTGACTAATACGGAACCAGTACAGGATTAATCTCATAATTTCAGCAATTGATTTAACTCTGAATCACTGTACACCTGCTGATTGAAATTGTAGGTGCACGAGGCAACCTACTGTACTAAATGTTTCTACCATTTAACGGTGTTAACTTGCTATTTTTTGTTATTTTGCAACAAACACCCAGTCTCACTAATTTGAGACTAAAATCTCACTGATGGTTATATATGTTCTTCAAATCTCACTATCGGTTATATGTGTTCTTGAAATCTAGCTAATGTTATTATGTTCTAGAGACGCGCTCCTGAACTAACATTATTAAAAAAAAAAAGGTTCTGAATTTTGTTAATTTCTTTTAATGAAACATGGTCTCCGGTCTACTAAGTATAAATGTTCGAATGCTCATGGGCTGTTCATCTGTTTCGTTTTAGCTCGCTGGCTTTCATTTTTGTTGTCATTTTTGTTGTCATTTTTGTTGTCATTTTTGTTGTCATTTTTGTTGTCATTTTGTTGTCATTTTTGTTATTAAAGTTCTTGGTCATTAGCCATGAACTTTATTAGCGTCGGTCGTGACCTAGCTATGTCTGCCTTTACAAATCTCGGGGTTATCATTATAATATTGGGTTTTGGGTATCCTAGCCAAGCTCGTGAGCCAGGAGCATGACATTCGTAAACGATCTTGGTTGGATTATTTCCTGGAGGTAAAAATAGCGGCCGTTGCGGTATGTATTTGATGAACTCTGGGCGAACATAAACGCTCGGTGGTGCTTGGATTATAATTCTCTATGGCTTGCTGACGGACTTCAGATGAAGTCCTCATATTTAGGATTATAATTCTCTATGACTTTCGACTGAAGTCTCAGACGGGTCTCCTCATATTTAATATCATAATTCTCTATGACTTTCAATTGAAGTCTCAGACGGGTCTCCTCATATTTAGTATTATAATTCTCTATGACTTTTGAATGAAGTCTCAGACGGGTCTCCTCATATTTAGTATTATAATTCTCTATGACTTTCAATTGAAGTCTCAGACGGGTCTCCTCATATTTAGTATTAATAGAAGGTGTGGTGAGTGAAGATGTAGAGTGACAAAAGAACTTAGATATTAAAAGAAAAGCTTAGGTAATTTTATATTCATAATCATAGCTTAGTAGAATCACCGGTGAAACATGTTTTAAAATAGGAATTAATAATAGAATTGAGTTGAGGGATATTTTTTTTTTCCTTTTTTTTTTTTTTGATTTGTTTTGTCGTTCGTGTGTATGTATATATATATATATATATACATATGCATATATGTATACTCACTATACTGACGTGATTTTATCGTTTGGTTAATCGAAAGGAAAAACCTATCTTCCTATCAATCAATTACACTTTTATGAGTTTTATGCAAAAACTTCTGATAAAGATCTTCAATGCATTCAATATTTGTAATAAATCTTATCATTTTCAAGAAAATTAAGTAATTCTCCTGAATCCATTACGCCATCATTTTTTTAATAAATATAAAGTTAGAAAATTATTGTAAATCCTTCATAGTAAAAATTTAAAGTTTTAATTTATCCAATTAAAAATCAAAAATTATTAATTAAATAGGGGGAAACGGAATATGAAAGGGGGTAATTTACATCTGATCATCGATTTAAGACTAAAGATAAAATCTGTTTTTAAAGGGGTTTCCTTTTATTATTAATATGAAATAGTTTAAATGCAAAATTTTTTTTTTTTTTCTCACGTCCCTTAAAAATTGTACGTAATGACATTTGAAAAAAGCATTGACCACCATGATTTATAATCTGATGATCAAAAATAACAAAAATGACGGATTTATTATTCTTATCTCAATTCTATTACTGTATGTTTTTCTCTCTGATAAGGTTCTTCAAATAAACTTTAATATGGTAGTTACACCTAACAGTCAACTGTTATTTATATCGAAATAACATCACTCGTGCCACTGCATAATGTATCATAATTTGGCAAGGATAATCTTTAAATTATATGGGAGAGTACTGCGGGAGTCAATAGAAAAAAAAGTCAATTTTTTATTGGTTCATTTTGCTGATCACAGTCATGTGAACAAAAATTTCTGATTGGTTCCGAGTATTCGGCATTATTGACTTACCCGATTACAATTTGTTCGTAAAGAATTTTTCTTGCAAAATGGCTCTTAGTTATCGAGATTATGAAAATTATGATGACCGCCAAAGTCAGTTGCGACAACGGCAAATCATTGAAAACCATGGTAAAGTCAACTTACACTTCCATCTTAATGAAATTGATCAATTATCGAATGTTCAATTACCGAATGTCAAATTCATAAATTACGGAGAAATGAACGTATTCGTTGAGAAATGCAAGATTTGTGAAAAAGCAATCGATAATAATCCCACCACTACCTGTTGCTGTTCAAATTCGAGTAATTCCACTCCCAAAATTAATTCCATTCCCAGTAATACTTTATCTACCATTTTAAAATTTATTTCATTTATTATTATACTTTTTTTACTCTTCGTATTACTTGTAATAATATTTATTTTATTATAGTTTACATTTTATATTTTTTCTTTATCTGTTATTGTATATCCGTTATATTTTATTTTTCTATCATACTCCTCATCAAACGAATAAGTAGTCGAAATAGGCGAGTTTATATTATTAATTCTAATGCCTTTATATAGCTTGCATCCTAGTGTGTTTTTAATAAACAGATCAGGTCAATCTTTTTTCTATGAATCGCATTTCTTTATGAGTTATTGGAGTGGGTTGCTGATTTTAAGTAATAGGAAATTTCGTACGATTGCGCATGATTTCACGTATAACGCGTAATTTCTTAACATTCACCCTACTCTCCTGTTATCATGAATTTAAAGGTATGTGACATGATTATCACTTTATAATGTTAATAACACTTTCCGTAGATGAGAAAATTAAAACGTCTTAGATTTTTAAGCGGTATCATAGTCTATCAACAAAATGCGTAATAAAGTGAAACGATCATTCCGTTCACTTATAGCAATTTATATCTGGGATCATTTCATAGAACTATGAACAATTGTGATGAATTACTTGGTGATTGTTATAGTGATGGTAAAACAGATTATTCGAGGGATGATGATGGGGTAGTGATCACAATCACCACTTTGATATTAATTACTAATGATGAAATACTCAAAAAAGAAATGTATATTATTTCAAATATTTTTAAATTTTAATGTTTGGGCTAAACATGGCATTTGATACTTGGTGGTAAAATCTGTGATTTTTTTACTCAAGATACTTATCATCTATGATTTTACCATCATGTCTTTTATTGAACAAAAAATATGAGAGATCAAAGTTAATTTATGCAAAAGCCTTTACTTTACCTACACCGCGAGATTTCTTATGTTTTTTCGATTTCTTCTTCAGTGTATGTTCCTTAGGAGCGTTCTTTCTGATGCCGTCGATTTCTCTGGTCTTGTTCGTTGAAGATTCATGGCTCTAAGATCAAAATTATTAATCGGTATGCGGTATTTATTTTAGCTTTAATAATGAAATATAAGATGGTACATTATTTTTTTTAATTAAAATGATAGTATACAAAAGATAACCCGCCGTCTAATTCAAATCTAGGTATAATAAGCTCATTGAAGTAAATCGAAACATTAAGGAAAATACGGATCTTTATATCTTTCAAATCAAAACTTGAATGTAGATTTAAGAGGAGCTATTCATCAGAAAATCTAAGGAATCCGGCTCATTTGATTTGTTTTATTCAATCAATACTATTTTATTATCTCAATGGTAGAAAAAAAAAAGAATTGGGTGCAAAGGTTTACTACTCATGGCACAATCAAAAAATTTTCGGAACTACTAGAACCGATTTATATTTTGGTAATGGGAATGTATCAATGTCTAGATCACTATGTTATAGTAATTTAAGCTTTGCCTTATGGACATTAAAATTTCAAATATATTTATTTATATAATCAAAACCTTATATATATATTATATATAAAATACATAGCTTTAATTAGCAAATTCTTAACTCTTTTAAAAAATATCTCTTTCAATCATAGTTGCCGCAATAGGATGGTAAAATGACTTATTCTCAGTAAAAGTTTTCTTCGCCAAGTCCGATCCTTTCTTGGTATTTTTCAACATTCTAAATAATATAAAAAAAAAATTTAATAAGAAATATTAAAACAATATAATGTTTGGATTTTTTGCAGCTTACCTATAAAGAGGTCTAACGTATTTCATTCTTCCTTGTTGAGTTACAAATTTAACAACATGAGGGAACATGGGTTCATACTCTGCTAATAAACAGACTTTTTGCCATCTATAACAAACTTCAACATTACGAACAGTAGTGAAATTGTAAGCTTTATCCATTGCAACAATTGATGAATGAGGAAAAGGTGGAAACTCCAATAATCGGTCTAAGAATGCCACTTTTCAAAAAAAAAATTCTTTATATATTAGCTTTTTTCCTGTCATAAAAATTTTCCAATTATTTACTTAATACCTACTCTTTTGTAACGTGGTAAATTTCTCGATGTCTGCTGGTGAGAATTCTTTAAAATTTTCATTGTTTCTTGCCAAATTCCATCTGATTCACAAAACTTATTAATAATTAAATCAACCAATTTGAAAAAAAAAAAATTTAAGATATTCGAACCTTTCAGCCAATTTATTACATTCTTCTGAAAGCGTTTGGTCAAATTCATTTTTTAATGGTGGCTAAAACAAATGAGAATAAAATATTTATATCTTACTTATTTTATAACCAAAAAAAAAAATATTTAATTAAAATTACCATTCCTGGAGAATGTAACCAGCCATTCCAATCAATTTTATCCAATGCATCCTTTTTTGCGGATCCAAAAGTTTTTTCCATAAAAGAATATAAGAAATTTTTCCAATCATCTGTGATAATAGATTTACCAGCAAATTCTTCAATATGAGCTTTCATATAAGGTTCAAAAAATTCAGGACCACCAACTACTTGCTGAATATGGTACAAAAAATTATATCCTTTTTCTATAATAATAATAATAATAATAAAAATAATTATCATCGTAAACTGCAATTGTTAACTTATCTCTTAACAAGGAGAAATCTTACCATATGAAACACGAGAAAAAGCATCATCAGGATCTATTCCTTTCAATACAGGTTGTAATGCAGTAAGGGGATTGTCTTCACCAAAAACGGTAACATCCTCCTCTAATTCACTCAATCCAATAATTGAATGAAAATCACTTTCTTTTTCACCATACAAACGACCAATAATTTTTCTTTCAAGAAACATGGTCCATCCTTCATTGAGCCAAAAATGTTCCTAAGTAATCAATTATTAATTGTTTATTTTAGTTCTTTTTTTTTTAATTTGAATATCATCCTTATAAATTACCCAATTTGCAGCTGTGACAAGATTTCCTGTCCAACTATGAGCAACTTCATGAGCAACTACATCAACGAGAGATCTATCACCGGCTATTAGCGCGGGAGTAATAAATGTCAAACAGGGATTTTCCATGCCACCGCTTTTGTATTAAAAAACAAATAAAATTAGAACGTAAAGAAATTTTAAAAGTTTCTTAATTATTAATAATATTATATAAAGGAAAACATGGGTTATAGATACCCTCCGAAGATGTATTAACTTACAAAGGAAATGAAGCGGGAAGAACCAACAGATCATACTTCTTCCATTCATAAGGAGTCAAAAGTTTTTCTCCTATAGCAATAAATTTTTCAGTATCTTCAAATTCCCATGCAGCGTCTTGTATAACTTCTGGTTCGGACCACACAGTTGATCTAGGACCAATTTCTTTTCCTGCCAAATTTCCAACTGCCAAAGCAATTAAGTAAGAGGGAATTTTAACTTTTTGCTCGAATTTGTAAAGTTTGCTTTTGTCATCATTAATTTCCTCTTCCCCAACACTAATAGCACTCATCAGAGCTCTAAGAGGATGAGGAACTTGAATATTGGCACTGTAGGTTATTTTGAAACATGGTGTATCTTGACATGGCAAAAGAGATCGTGCATGAATCTAAAAAAAGGTAAAAAAATTTAATTTATAATAAATGTAGATATTCTAATACTCATTATCGATTTAATTCTTACTTCTTGACACTGTGTAAAAAGATAAGGATGCTTCTTTCCAACGGTTTGACTGTAATATTTATTTTGGTAAGATCTAAGAGAGAAGGCTCGTAGTATTATTTCTGTTGAAATAATAGGTACATTACCTTGGTTCTAACCATTGAATAGCAGTACCTTGTATCGTAGTGTTGTAGGATATTTCCAATTCGAACTTGGTTCCAGTAGCAAGAGGTTTTTCAAGCTCAATATGCAAGCCAGTCGCTCCAAAACAATCAATTTCATTATTAAGGTTAAACTTTATAAGATTATAAATAAAAAAGTGAGTATAACAACATTCCCAAATAAAACGCACTAAGCTACGCTCACCTTTAGTTGTTTTCCATCTTGTGAAACTGACTTAATAATGAGACTTTTTGTATCAAGAATGACTTTGTTAACGTTATCAGCTATAGTAATTAATCTTAATGTAACACTTCCATCAAGAATTTTATGTTCAAAGTCAACTCTTAAATTTAATCCAATATGACTTGTTTGTATTTCGTTGATATTAGATAATGTGCTCGGATCATAATACATTTTTTCTAACTGAACTATTGAAATTTGTATCAGTTGCGGGCACAATCATCAATCATGACTGTTTTTATTTATAAAATCTTGGGACAGATTGCCGCCTTTTCATTATTGAAAAATTTTTGTGAGAAAAAGATATTTCCAATCTAAATTTTCATTTTCTTTTCAATAACAGATTGCCGATCAATGTCTCCTGACTATCGGGTCGTGTGTATTTTTTAACGAATTTGAAGATCTTAAATAATATAGGATAAATCAATCAATATACGGAAATTACCCGTGAAATATGAGAGGAGGAATGTTAAATTAATCCTACGGGTTGTTTTCCGTCTTGTGAAACTGACTTACTTTTTGTATCAATGAATGGACTTTGTTAACATTATCAGCTATAGTAATTAATCTTAATGTAACACTTCCATCAAGAATTTTATGTTCAAAGTCAACTCTTAAATTTATTGAATTCAATATGACTTGTTTGTATTTCGTTGATACTAGATAATTGTGCTCGGATCATAATACATTTTTTCTAACTGAACTACTGAATTTTGTATCGGTTGCGGACACCATCATCAATCATAATTGTTTAAATCTTGGATAGATTGCCGCCTTTTCATTGAAAAATTTTTGTGAGAAAAGATATTTCCAATCTGAATTTTCATTTTCTTTTCAATAACCTGTCGTGTGTATTTTTTAATGAATTGAAAATCTTAAATAATATAGGATAAATCAATTTCAATATACGGAAATTACCCGTGAAATATGAGAGGAGGAATGTTAAATTAATCCTACGGGTTGTTTTCCGTCTTGTGAAACCGACTTACTTTTTGTATCAATGAATGGACTTTGTTAACATTATCAGCTATAGTAATTAATCTTAATGTAACACTTCCATCAAGAATTTTATGTTCAAAGTCAACTCTTAAATTTATTGAATTCAATATGACTTGTTTGTATTTCGTTGATACTAGATAATTGTGCTCGGATCATAATACATTTTTTCTAACTGAACTACTGAATTTTGTATCGGTTGCGGACACCATCATCAATCATAATTGTTTAAATCTTGGATAGATTGCCGCCTTTTCATTGAAAAATTTTTGTGAGAAAAGATATTTCCAATCTGAATTTTCATTTTCTTTTCAATAACCTGTCGTGTGTATTTTTTAATGAATTGAAAATCTTAAATAATATAGGATAAATCAATTTCAATATACGGAAATTACCCGTGAAATATGAGAGGAGGAATGTTAAATTAATCCTACGGGTTGTTTTCCGTCTTGTGAAACTGACTTACTTTTTGTATCAATGAATGGACTTTGTTAACATTATCAGCTATAGTAATTAATCTTAATGTAACACTTCCATCAAGAATTTTATGTTCAAAGTCAACTCTTAAATTTATTGAATTCAATATGACTTGTTTGTATTTCGTTGATACTAGATAATTGTGCTCGGATCATAATACATTTTTTCTAACTGAACTACTGAATTTTGTATCGGTTGCGGACACCATCATCAATCATAATTGTTTAAATCTTGGATAGATTGCCGCCTTTTCATTGAAAAATTTTTGTGAGAAAAGATATTTCCAATCTGAATTTTCATTTTCTTTTCAATAACCTGTCGTGTGTATTTTTTAATGAATTGAAAATCTTAAATAATATAGGATAAATCAATTTCAATATACGGAAATTACCCGTGAAATATGAGAGGAGGAATGTTAAATTAATCCTACGGGTTGTTTTCCGTCTTGTGAAACTGACTTACTTTTTGTATCAATGAATGGACTTTGTTAACATTATCAGCTATAGTAATTAATCTTAATGTAACACTTCCATCAAGAATTTTATGTTCAAAGTCAACTCTTAAATTTATTGAATTCAATATGACTTGTTTGTATTTCGTTGATACTAGATAATTGTGCTCAGATCATAATACATTTTTTCTAACTGAACTACTGAATTTTGTATCGGTTGCGGACACCATCATCAATCATAATTGTTTAAATCTTGGATAGATTGCCGCCTTTTCATTGAAAAATTTTTGTGAGAAAAGATATTTCCAATCTGAATTTTCATTTTCTTTTCAATAACAGATTGCCGATCAATGTCTTCTAACTACCAAGTCGTGTGTATTTTTTTAACGAATTTGAAGATCTTAAATAATTTAGGATAAATCAATTTCAATATACGGAAATTACCCGTGAAATATGAGAGAGGAATGAACTTATAGAATTAGCCTGCTGCAACAACCATCAATGAAATCACGGTATATAACTCAGCAACTTTACTAAATTAATCATAAAATGGAAGCGTTCAGACATTATAGGAGCAATCGTATTAATCAGTTTTATTATTAGTGTGATCCACGGATTCAGTTATTACGAATATCACCGGAACTTTGGATAAATTTATATGACAATTCAGTGAATATCCTATGAATATCCGGATGTTACTATCCGGGATTAAATGTTTAGATTTGATAACAGGTAGGATATTCGAATTCAAATCTTTGAACGGAGTGAATATCAACTGATAATCCGGATCTAAGCTCTATTTTATCACTTTCGTAATAATGTGATTAACTTGTGACATATTTTAAAAGTTTTGGTGTTTTGATTCTCACTAGAAAACAAATTCGTAATATATATAAACTTATAAATCAATGCAATTTTCTATAGAAATATGTTAGATATATAATGAGAAATCTAAAATTTATTTTTATGAATAAGGATAATAATTATATTTTATCAAATTATATTATAAATTAAATAATATTATTTACAATTGTACAGGGATATTTACAGTAATTAATTATATATTTAGAAATCTATTTTAAATTATAATTATGAATTAAATAATTATTCCCTCCTTTAAACAATCACCTCAATTTCCTCAATTATTGTATCTTGATCATCGTTTGTTATATCTACAGGTGATTTTTCTTCCGGAATCGTTAATAGTGTGGTATGTAATATATTATTTGATCTAGTAACTTGTTGCATTTGTTGCATTTGTTGCATTTGTTGCACTAGTTGCATCTGTTGCGAGTGTTGCATCTGTTGCATGGTATTTGATGGTGGATTATAATCTCTAAAAGATGCCGTAAGTGATGGAGGTCTTGCAAATAAGAAGCTATCATCTCTACAATATGAGTTGGATTTAAAAGTGAGCTTTTCAGGATTGCCATAATAAATACAAGGCAATAAGATTGTAGGCGAATCACTTTTTGCGAAGATCAGGAATAAAATTATACCACTATAGTAAGTATATAAAAGGAAAAAATCATGTTAATTAACAGTAATAGTGTAACGACATACAAAAATATTATTAAACTTATCGTACTTACATAAATGGTTGAGCGAAATCTTCAATCTCTATACCATTTTCCGGATTTTTTATTATATATTGAAAAACAATCCTTGATATTAAAGAGACTCCAAGAAAAATTGTATACATAATACTACATATGAACAAACGTATTGAATGTCCTAGTCTTAATGCTGTCCATCGATTTCTTTTCACAGAAAATTGTTGCCAACGCTTCCATAATAACGTACTAAAGTAAACTATAATTATAAAAGAAAAAAAAAATAATACGATATTAATCTTTTTTTAAATATTTATGATTATTTAATATGATAAAAAAAAAAAAAAAAAAAAAAAAAAAAAAAAANAAATATTTTCAGATTATAATAATTTTCAAATGTTCTTTATGCAATCAACAATTATAAAAAGAAAAGTATGAGTTTTGATAGTTTCAAAAAAAAAAAAAAAAAGAAAAAAAAAAAAATCTTACAAGTAAATATTAAAGTGATGAAGAATATTGGAAGCATTATTATTAAATATGTTATACGTTGTAAATTAGAATTTCGAGGTTTACAAAATAATGGTGTGACGCGGATGCCAAAATTTTCACTTGTGTAAGCATCAGCAAATGAATATGTGTTAAAACAAATTGTAAAACACCAATTAATAATTGAAAAAGTCCAAAAATATTTTCTTTCTATTTTTATGTTTCGATTTTCAATTGCGTGCCAAATATAAAATCCTAATATAATAGGAAGTATATGTAAAGGATAAAAAAAGAATAAATATATTATTTGTTGTATTAAACATAAAATTCGCGTATCAAATGCTTTATTAATTATATCATCTCCATATTTTATTATGTTAGGTAAAAATCCTATAGTATATGCCCACGCTGTTATAAATAATTGTAATTGAGTATATTTCGTGAAATGATTAGATGATATACATAATTTAATGATAAGATACGTTAATAATAATAAACTTAAAATATTTAAAGATATAAATACGATGTCAACAGGTGAATATTTTAACATTTTTATTTTTATTATTTCCTAATATAGTTAGATCGTTTGTTAAACAAAGATATATATAAAAGAATGACTCCAAAGGAAAAGAGCAGAAATCCCAAAATATTTACATTAAAGTGTCGCTCTTTTCTTTTTGTAAAATTAATATCTTTACGTTTTTTTTTTTTAACGTGAGACGATTAATACTAGATTTTTTTTTTAACATCTCAATAAAATGAATAATTGTTGAATATTTATACTTTTTTTTTACTTTTTCTAAATATTTGACTTTTGTATCATAAATTGTCCATAGAAGGAAATACTTTCTCCATATTATTATTAAATGGCCTATTTTTCCCGAACCCCTTATCATGTTTCTCATATTTTTTTTTGATGACGTTAAATAGATAAAAATAAAAATAAATAAATCGGAATATTATTTCCGATTTATCGGATATTAGAGTTTAACCATTAAATGAAAAAAATTCTTAACTTCTTTGGAAATTAATTAAATTCGAGTGATACTGAGTAACAGCATGATGTTCTTCCTTTTTTGTATGTTGTTCTAGAATAAATTGAAATTCTCAGAACCTCGGAAGTCTCCCGCCACAATTACAAATAGTTACACAATTAATAATTTTTGTAGTTGATGGCAAATTATGCTTATTTTTTATTTAACAAATAAAAAAATTAAACGCCAAGCCTTTTTTGTTTGTAAATAAAATTTATTATATCTTTTTTATTATTATTATTAATAATAATTTTTTTATTTTATAGAATATTCTCCTAAATTTTGACTGCGGTCTTTTATTCTTGTCATCAAAAAATGGAATGATCCGTTTTTTCCCCATTCATAAAGAAACCTTTTTCGGTTTTGTTGAAAGACAAAACCGAAAAAGATCAAAAGATAATCAGATGATTCGGATCACATTCCTCTAAATCTTTGAATTAATAGATTATTAATATTTTCCAATCTTAACTTTATATGTATAATTAATGATACTCTTTTGTGCTATTTTTGGATATAAAATATTAATTTAAGCTCCGAATTTCTAAATTTTTATCATAGTGATATAATTAAATGATTCGAGATGAAACATATTATTAATATTATAATTTATTTTAAATCCGACATTTCCATCATAAAGTTGTACCATACTTCATACATTCATTCATGTTAAATTATTAAATAATTATTATGTTGCATATTTTGCATCGAAAATTTAAAAATAATCATTCGATCTATCATATTTCTTATAATTTATAAATAATCATTTATTATTCTGACAAATATAATGATATAAAAAAATTTTAAAAATGTTAAAATATTTTTAACTGAAAAATTTGAATCATACATTAGCGAGATTTAAAAATAAATTTTTAAAGGGGGTCCTGATTGTGCATCGTACAAAGATTAACTCCTATGTGGCACATGACCGATCTTTGATAGTGGCTTATTGTTTGATCTACATTAATTCCGGTAACATTACAATGTTTAGACTGTTGATGTTACATCTAAATATAACTCTTTACTTGCCCAAAATTATTGGTTCTAACCCGCCTTTTATACTAAAATATATTGAATGATTTTGTTTAATAAATATTTATATAACTTTCTTTTCTTATTAATTTTTGAATGGATGGTAAAACAGTGGTAAAACACTGTCAAATATTTTAAAAAGTACATGATTTTCGTATTAATAATATTAGTATAATAGTTTATTATTTGCAAATGAAATTATATATTGTTATTATATTATATTGTTATTATATTTGGTTGTTAATCTGTATTTTCGGTAATTTTAAATTGCCATTTCATTAACTAAAACATTTGGAAAATGGGCATTAATTACTTTTTTTACTGATTCAAATAATAATAAAAACATATCAATTACATCATCAATTTTAATAAAATTAATCAATTAAATTAGTACATATTTAAAATAATAAATATTAATAGTACACATCTTGGCTTTTTTTTTCCGCTTATATTTCTATTTTAGGTTTAACAAATATGACAAAATAATCATCCTCATCTACTTCTTTATATCCAGGTGCAATAATTTTTATATTTTCTTCATCTCCTTCAAACTCTCCTCTTCTCTCCATATTTACTTTTGGTAACTTCATTTTCCCTCCAATCAAGGGAAAACAATTCACTTTAAAGCAATGTTCTCCCATACCTGGTACAATAAAATGTGTTTGTTTATATCCTGAAAAAACGAATGAATCATTCACCTCTATGTTCACATGTATTTTCTTCTCAGATGATGTCCAGTTTATTATTTTATATACAAGAGTGAATAATTGTCCTACTATTGGATTTGGTGGAATTCTAATATATGCTGAGATTTCTGCTTTTTTTCTTATTAATTGTGGCACAACTACTGTTGATTCTGTACAAGGAATTTTAGTGTCTTTAACTACGGATGATTGTTGGTTTCTTTTCCATTGTATTACCAGTAATCCTATATCTATGTCTAACTTTTTGATGTCCATTAAGGTCAATTCTAATAAATAATTTACATTATATACATTTCCTTGTTTCCAAACTTATTTAAATATAATAATATCAGTAAACATTTTAATTTTAATTATAAATAATACCAATATCTTCAATATACAAACCTTGCCCTTGAAAATCATTTTCTATTTCAATAGACGATGCTGTTATTTCCATTCGAGTCTGTGCATTGGCTTGACCCAACTAAAAAAAATTATTGTTTATATTTTAATAAAGAAATAACAATTAAAAAACCATAAAGATAATAATAAATTCGTTAATTTTTACCAAATTTAAATCAATATCAGATACTAAAATTTCACATGGACTTGTGGTGGTAATCTTTGCAACTAAAAAATATTTCTCAACTCTTTCCATAGAAATTTCTGACTTTCTTTCAAAAATACTTTCACTTTGTTGTGATGTATTAAAAGAAAAACTGAATGGTGCAATAAAATGTATTCTAAAATCTTCCTTCTTTTCAATCCATCCTCTTGCAGGATATGGTGTAGACGGCACTGAACTAGTTGACGAATAATAAACTGTTAAATGAAGTGTTCGTGGCAAATTGGATTTTTTTCCAAGTACATAAACTATCTTCACTACAGATTCTCCCGCTGGTATTATTCCTATATCAATATCCTTTAAATTATTGGTCACATTTGCTGTAATTGTAGGATCTAAAGTAATAAAATCTTCCGAATCTACAGGATTTGATGGTGCATCTGTAACAATTTCCGCGTTCAAAAATGTTTTAACTTCTTCATGTTCCAAATTTACTACAGTAAGTTCTATCGGATAATATTCATCCAATAGTGCAGGGGCCGAATGCTTAGCTTGTATGTCCAACCTGGCTAATTTTTGAGTAACTCTAATTATAAACAAATTATATTAGTAAAAATAATTGCCGTTAAAACATTTCAACGAATATTTTAATTACTTGATAGAAGTACGTTCCCCTGTTCCATTTAATACCGTATAAGTAGGCTTAGTAACTTATTAAAATAAAATTGAATTTTAATAAAGAATCTTTGTTAAATAGAAACATATTATTTTATTAGTTTATAACCATAATAATATACCTTCATCTTTGGAATCAATATTACCAATCAGCCATTTACGTTTAGAATGTTCTTCACGTGCATTCTTCAAATTAAAATGAAGTTCAACCTTCCATTGTTCCGTCAAAAATCCAAGAGAAACAGCTTGAAGCTATAAATACAGAATTTTTAAATACTTATTAACTAAAAACAATTTGATTAATAGATAATTCACGAATTTACCTGCAAATCGCCACTTTCCTTTGGCTCAATCGATCCTTCAAATACTTTAGTAATACCTTTACTAAAATTCAAATCAACATCCTTAACCCATACTAATCCTTCTCCTTCAACATCCTCTTTCAAGCAATTTTTGCAATCGATCCATTCTAGCTTTGTATTATCTTTTTCAATTTTATTATCACGGAGGTAATGATTAAAGTATGAATCGTTATATGACAAGCGGAGGAAAGTGAACCGTAAAGGAATAGGAGGAGATTCGGCTTGAGTTGAAAACGCAATTTGAAACAAAGTTTCAGCCCCAATAAATGTTGTATCATCTTTAAATTGCACACGACATGTTACTGATTATTAAAAACATTCGTCAAGATAAAATATTCTAGTAATAATAAAAGACTTTATAAAAAAGGATACAGAAAGAATTTATTTCATCCATGTCAATCATAACTTGCCTTGGCTCGGGTAAAGTGATCTATATATTTTATATAGGAATAATATATCATATCTTAGAAAATATTAATAAATTTAGTATATTATCATTATCACGTACTTTAAAAAGTATATCCGTAAGTTCGTTATGAATTTCGATTCGTTGTTGGTTTGATATGGAAAATTCTAAATGAGTATATAAATCATCAAAATCATATAACTTTTTTTTTTAAAAAAGAAACAAAACTCATTTTAATAATAATTAGGCTTACGATCTGACAATAATTCGATCAAATATTCCACAACTTTTTCCCAAGTACCAAGATCCTTAGCACACACTAAAGACCATCTCAATATTGACTCTAGAATTGTATGCCAATGTTCTTTACGATATGTTTTGGCAATTCTTTCAAAAAATCTATAAAAAAAAAGAAAATTTTAAATGTTATAAATACTTTCTCTTGACAATAATGATAAACCTTCGTTACTTAAGTAATCACTAATATACTTTAGAGCCGTTTCATATTTTCCAGCATCTAAATAAGTGTTAGCAATTTCAGAGGCTAAATACAACGTCATACGACCAGTCTTTTGTGCCTTAAATTGCTCATAACTCTTAGTATACAATTCAATTGTCAACGTTGAATGATCTATACTTTGTTCTGCATCCAAAATATCTTGTGGTGGAAGGATAGAATTATCAACCCCTTCTTTTTTCATATACTATAATATATATAAAAAAAATGATTAATATCAATAAACTTGAATAATTTTTATGTGAAGAATCGTTAAATACCTTCTCTAAATTTAAAAAATGTTTTCTCCTTAATGAGTTATACTTTGCTGCCATGAAATAATAAAATCCCGGATGTTGAAGAACCATCGTTGGATTAATTCCAGAGCCTGTATTGGGATTACTTGACATACTTGATATACTTGACATACTAGACATACTAAATCTAAAATCTGATGAAGTAGTATTATGAGAAATTTTTGCCGGATCTGGAATAGTAAAACCAGTCCTAATAGCAATTTCTAAAATGTCAGCAAATATGCGATACTGTTTGGACAACCACGCCCAATATTCAAATGTATCTTCACCAATACCCCGCGTATTAGATATATCCTTAAAAGTTGACACGTGTTTATTCAGTTGAGCCAGTGCTGCCGAAGGGGAATCAACATAAAGGTTCAGTTTACATAACTAAATAGCATAATATAAAATTTGAACAATTTGGTAATATAATAAATAATGTAAGTTTATGGAAAAAAAACTATACAAACTTTTAGACTAATAGTATCAGCAAGAATCCTAGCCTCAACCCAACGTTTACTTCGAATGGGCAATCCAGTTGCACCTGGTGTGACGGAAGACTGAGGCGCGAAAAGATCTATAATAAGATTATAAGCTGATTCGTAGTATCTGTATATAAATGAAAAGTATTAGTCATAAAAAAAAATAATCCTTTCTTAAAAAAAAAATTTTTGAAAACATTACCTGATAGCTGCTTCCATATCTTGTCTAAACTCGGCAAAAGTTGCTAATTTATAATCATATCGGATCATCCACCCTTGAATACCAAGCGGTTGTGGACTCATTGAAGATTTTTCAGAGAGTGGAGGTCGCATAAAATTACCACTAGGAGAAGGTAACCTAGATCGCTTCCTCTTTACGCGTTTACCATGTTCACGATAATAATTTAATCCGTATTCATAAAGAGATTTTTGCAGGCTTTAAATTGTCAGATATTTTCAGTATTTGGTTTGTATAAGGATTTAGATAGTTTATAAATTCAGTTACATACTTTGTCACGAAATCTTGAAAATCTCCGTACTGAGATGAAGGTAACACGAAAAATGCATGCCTTCCATCTAATCCACTTACTTTTCGGATATTTGCTAATCGCTCATCCATCGCTTGATCTTTTAAAAACATTCGCTCATCCATTGTCTTATCTTTTATAAATAATTCATAGTTAATTTGCATTGAACTCTGATCTCATAAAAATATTATCAATTAACATTTATACATGCCAATATTTTGCGTTTTAAGCAATATTACGGCTGAAAATTTAATTCCTCTCTCAAGTAAGGATTTTCTATAAAATTATTCATAAATCAGTCGAAATTCAAAAAAGTATATATAAAAAAATAATAAACCGATATTTTTATAAACCTCCTTTCATTTATCTCCATTGCCAAAATATAATCTTTCTCTTTATCCATTGATTCTGATGTACCTTCTTGTGTTGAAGAAATTTCTTCCTTTTCTTGTATAGAATCAGGTGAAGTATGATGCCACAAGTCATAAAAGCCTACTACAACACTTGGTAGAATTTCTCGATGTTTTCTTACCCATATAGGAGGAATTAAACCATCAGGATGAACAGGCGATCCTGATGTCAATGGTGAAATAGCTGAATGTGCAATTGGCATATTTAGATGTTGAGTTTGTGCTGGAGGTCTCATCGTTGGTTTTCGAGGGGGAAATTGATGATTCTACATAAGCATGCAAAGTATAAATAGTTAATAATAAAATAAAATACAAATATATATTGATTATATGAAATCGAATCGATTTAGTTCTCAATTTAAATTAAGCTACAAGTTTAATAAAAATATTTTCATTAATTAGAAATCAACATACCTTATCAACAGCAACTACGTGAAAAACTGCACTTGCATTTTTTCCGGGTCCCCAAATACCTACTTGACTTTTTGCTGTTAAAAGAGACAGTAAAGTTCTTGATAACTGTTGTTTTGTGGAAATAGGTATTGAAGCTGCACTTAGTGAACTTCTTCGCGATTGAGATTTAGAACTGGGAGGATTTTGTATAGAACCAGTTGTAGAAGTAGGCTGTTCTACCAAATCTCTCGCTGTTCCTAAACCAATTACAGCCATTAAAGGAACATGGTGAAAAATAAATTCGGGAGGATAGCTATCCATAATTAATCCAAGTTGATTTTGTAAAGCCAACTGAGTAATTTTATCAAACTTAATTATGTAATCCAAGATCATAACACAAGATCTTAGATCGTACCACATAAATTTTTGTTTGTCGCATGAGATTATGTAACTTTTATTTCTAGAAAAATAGCGCGAAAATTAAATGAAACAAAAAATATTTACGAATTAGAACTTCATTTCCCATTTTTTTTTTTAAAAAAAAATACTATTTAATATATAAAATGAACGACACTAATTCTTATAAAATGTAATTAATATAATTCATTATATTCAATATCAGGTAACCGATACTTTGCACGATATTCAGAAAATTTAACAAATCCCACATGCTTTTTAACATCATCGATATATTTCTTTGTAAAATTCTTTTTGTTTCCTAAATATAATTTATCTAATTGTCCATTATTATAATAAGTTAATAATAAACAGATATGATGATCGTTAAAAAAAGAACAATTAGAAAAATCCAACACTTTAAATTTGATTCCTTTTTCTTTACAAATTTTAAAAAGTTTTGATAGATAATTAAATTGAAGATAATTTTCAAAATTAAATGTGAGATTAATTACAGATTTGGGTAAATTTTCTCCAATTAAAATTAATAAATCTTCTCCACTAAATTCCAAATATCTTAAAGATAATATTTCAAGATATTTCAAAGTATTTAAATAAGATGAAAATAAATTAACATAATTAATATCAATTGAATAAGTTAATTCAATTAATTTGGTACAATAATCTTGACAATAAGAAAGGATATCTTTTGTTTCTGATTCATCAATAGATAATGTTAATTCTTTTATTTTTTCATTTGATTGTTTAAATAAAACCTTAATGAAATCAGGTGGAAATCCCTTTCCCTCATCCATTATAATGCAAATTCTATTCAATTTTTGAAAAGATAATGATAAATCATTATCATTGATTGAAAATTTAAAATTACTACAATAAGTTATTTCCAATTGTTGTAAATTTGAAAATATGGACAATTCATGAAGTGGAAAAGGATCAGATTTATTAAATTGAATTAAATTAAGACAAAAACATGTCAGAACATTACAATGTTCTAGAACACTTTTCCAAATAATAGGGAAATCAGAATCTAAGCATGATATCGTCACATCTTCCAATCTTTTTTGATTTTTAATAAGTTGTGCCATATTTTTTACACAAAGATCCAATGGAGTAATATCATTAATCCATATAATTATAATTTTTTTTAAATTCATTAAAATTTTTGAAGCTGATAATAAAATAGTTGGTAAAAGTCCTACTTCATCTCCCACAATAACGCAATCTAAACATGTAATATTGGATAAATTTTCTTCAGCTTGGGTTAATTCAAAAATATTCATAATTTGTTCTTCATTAAAATAAATTCCTTCCATATATGTTGAATTAATTATGAAATTTTCACATAAAGCTTTAAATATCTTGAGTACAGTTTTCCTTTCAAATTCTTTTTCTAAAAGTGCTGAACCTTTAACTTTTTCCTCAAAAAAAATACTTGTATCAAGCCAAACTTTTATTGTAGCCAAAATGTCATTGAGCCAAAATTTTTGTAAAAAACTTGTATAATTGAATATAGCTTTTACTGTTGAATCCAATCCAACGGATTCTCGAAATTCCTGAGATAAACATTTAATATAAGAGTCCATAAGTTGAACATATCGTTCTTTTTGTCCAGACTCAAAACAAAAGGAAAAGGGATCTTTCCACAACTCAGGAATTGCTGAAATACACCAATGACGATTGATTAGAATGCAAGTATACCGTGCTTTCCAATCTTTTTCTAATTCTTTAAATATCAAATGTAGACAAAGTTCTGGAAGTGTAGCTGCCATATTTTTTACTGTTTTATTTGTTTTGATTTTTGATTTTAAATTATTTTATTTTATTATTATCCGATGATCGTCCATCGATCGACATACACATATACGTTGACGTGTGCATTATTGATAGATTGTCTTTATTAGTTAATTATTATATATATATATAACTACAACGCAGCTGTACGTGTTGTACTCATGTACTCACGTGTACTCACATGTATTTTCAATATATTTGACGAACTTAAATTATTTTTTTAAGTGAAATATTATTACACCGTTGAACTACACTACTCCATTTTTACATTCCTGAAGAGCTTATATATTAAGTTTTATTTTTACCATATTATAATATAACGTATGAAACACGAAATTAATAAAACATAAACAACTGTACATATAAAAGAAAAAATTGCAATTTTTTTTTATTGGAAAGGAATTGAATAGTTTGTAATCAAACTCTTCTAAAATACATGTTATAAAAAAAATGAATTCAAATGAAATAAAAAGGGCGAATTCCTATAAAAAATGTTAGATGCACCGCAACGTATGGGCGTAAATCAAAAAAGTTTCAGTGGACTGTAACCCGTGGCCTTATCTGCTTTGAAGACTCGGCTTCGCACATGTTTCACATTTCCTTATGGGACAGAGGACGAACATATTGTTATAAATCGTGAGTGTGGTGGTAATGAAAAGGAAATTATTTGTTTGGTTGATGATGAGGATTTGGCAAGTGTAATCTGGACTCAAGGATTCAAGGTGGATTTTCCAATCGTCGTGGACACATGTAAGTATCGGTTTGCTATTTTTTGAGAATAAATCATGATAGGTGTGACATACCCCTAACAAAAAATAATTTGGATGTTTTATAGCGCAACAGCCATTTTCGTCGTGGACATTTCCCCAAATCAAGACGTTATTCGGGTTAACAGCTGATAGTTATATTGATCTCCCCAGGTTCGATGGAGAGTTAGCTGACACAGCCAATTACGAAAAGATATTGGAGCACGTTTTGGAAGATATAGCTATGAAGCATAAGACCTGCATTCACGTCACTAGTGCAAACGAAGCAACAAGACGCGAATTTATTTCTTCCGTTCTTCATGGCGTTGCCTCTTGTTATGATGGTGAAGTGAAAGTATGTCCAGAATACGAGTTATCTGGAAGTCATGGTAAAGGGCCAGTGGATTGGGTTATCAAGATTGGAGATACGATTATCGTTGTTACTGAGGCTAAAAGAGAGGATATTAACCAGGGTGTTGGCCAGAATGCAATTCAGTTACAAGCTTCGTCTCAGCGTAATAAAAAGAAACGCACATATAATGAGGCTTTGCGTGAAGATGTAATGTATGGTATTGTTTCGACAGGGGTCGACTGGGTCATAATTAAGTTAGTTACTACTGGCGAATATAATGATAGTGATAATGGGAATGTCGAGGTATTATTGAGTTCGCGAACACCATTTACTTTCCCCATTAATGAGAGTGTGTTCGATAAAAGTCTTATGCTTGAAAAACTCAAGAACTTGTTCGGGCAAATTAAATGAGTGTTTGGTCTCCAGATTGAATTGCAGGAATCATTGAAGCGGGTAAAAACAGAAAATAAATAAGATAGTCTTATCTTTTTCGAAAAAAAATAATCGTATGTAGACATTAGAATAGAAAAAAAATTCGTCATGTATCGCAGGCTACGCCCCAAACCTTTGTATTTATTTTTGCATATATTAATAAAAAATTTTCTTGGCAAAAGTAATCGGATGCTTATACAGGTTGAGATATGCAAATTTTATTAGAATTAATAAAGTATTTTTATTCCGCCATTTTTTTTTATTTTGTACATATTATATATAAAGTGCATTAGCCCAAATTTTTATGTCTATTTTTTATTTAGTACATATTATATATATTATATATAAAAGTGCATTAGCCCAAATTTTTATGTCTATATTTTTTTTGTAAAATAATCTACATAGCACGAAATATTGCTTGTTGGATAGGAAAGAAATCAATAACCATATTATTGATTGGGTATGGTGGGACTTGAGGACAGCCACGGAAAATACAACCTGGAAAAATATTCATAATACACATTCCTGGGGCAGTACATCCATTATACAGTTGATTTCTCCTATCAATGGTTCCGAATTCAATCTAAAAAAAATAAATGCATAAATGATATTGAAAAAGAAAGCAAATGCCAAGAATACTAATTCTTACAATGTGGACTGGTTGATAATTTTCATATACATTTTGTACGCCATTTCTATGACAGAATTTATAGCACTGCCAAAAACACAGAACAATTATTAGACAAATGAAATAAACAAAATAACAACAAAAAAAGTAGTACTGAACTGTGAAACGGCGCAAAGGAGTTCCGTTTTGATCTCTTCCTAAAGTCCATTTCCATAATTTTAGTACAAATACATCCTCTACATGGTTCAGAGCCAACCAGAATTGAGTAGTCTTATGCATTATTCTAAAAAGGCTTTCTGAATTGGCCACCTCAACAATAATGGTTGGCCAAGGGTTACCCTATAAACCATTATAGATTCAGATTGGTCTTTGTATTTTCAATAATATAATTCAAGAAATAATACCTGAAGATCACAAGGGTTTGGGGCTGGTTTGGGCATAATTCTTGGTGTAAATGAACAATCCGGCTGTTTGCTAGAACTCCTTGTTATATGTCCTGGAGTAGTATGACAAGCTGAATACAAAAGGATTAAACTTAATATAATAATATAAATTCACAAATAAACACAAAGTACATACTTGATGCTCCAGTAATATCAACTGTATCCTGAGGATCTTGATGTATAAATTGCCTAGTGAACTCATAATGTGCCATTTCATGATCACGATTTGGCAACTCGATTATGACTACCATTCCGTCTTGAAACTCCCAGTACCTTGATGCTTTTGTGATCTCACATTTTTTTTCGAACTCTTCATAACTTACATCTTCAATAAGAATCAGAGGAAGTCTAATAAAATGAAACAAATTTTAGCATAAACATTGAAAATCGAATTTATGTAGTGTTATGACTATGACTTACCTATTTTCATCAATAGTTTTATAATTTCCATCGATCTACCATTTTTTCTCTCTTGCATCAGCTTTGTTAGTGATGACTTCTTCCACATTAGCATCAATAACTTCAATACATTCCTGAAACGCCAACTCATCTGCAGTTAAATCAGGTAAGGAAGTTACTGAACCTTTATGAGAATTTGCAGTTGATGAGAAGATGCTTAAAATAGAGGCTAAAGAACTTCGACAAGAAGATACAAAAGATTCATTTACACTTGTAAACATTTTTAAAACTAAGAGATATAATCACTAATAACTACTAAATGAAATGAGAGATTAAAGTTAACAGTTTTTATAGTTATCAAAATATGTGATATGACGCAATAATTAGTAATTAAAGTGTAGGGAAGCATGTCTGAAATGTGTGTCAAATTGACAGCGCAGTGTGGTGCAGCGATTTTTTCCAAAAAAATTAAATTGCAATTTTTTTTATTTAAAATAAAACCTTTAAATTACTACACTAGATATATTTTTGTCTGCTCTGCAAATTTACTTAGAGAATATACAAGTAGTTTAGAAGGCCATTTTCGAGTTATTTAACAAAAACTGTTTTTTGACAAATCCAATTTTGGAAATGATCAGTAAAGACAATAAAATCAGTTGTTATATACTAAAGTTAAAATCTACTTCCAAAATCTCCTTCCATTTATAAGTGAATTTTGTAAAACAAATGAAAATACATTTAATATGTAAATTTGAAAATATTATATTAAAAAGAAAATCTTTAACTTATTTTTTTTTTGAAATTACTATGCCATACTGTACCATTAACCTGACACACATTTCAGATATACTGTGAAAAGTATGGGAGTGTAGAAGTAAATAGATATTGTAAATCATTTGAATCATCTTTAATATAATTTTTTCTTTAAAATAGTATTATATTTTTCATCAAAATGATAAAATACTAATTAAATTTATTTTGGCAGATGTAAATATGTAATGTATTTTGATAAACATAATTAATTCATAATAATTTTATAATAAATAGTAAATTAGTCTATTCACCAAAATATGATATAATTAATTAGCAGAGAAGTATAAATAGTATTTTATTATCTGATTCTGATATGTTAATGGCTTATTTTAAATGATCTATACAATACTAGATCTGATTAATGATATTTTTACCAATCTCATTGGTTTGTATTCTGTAAAGAATCACAGATTGCAAATAATATAAAATTTTGGTATAAGGTTTAATGTTATTATCTATTGATTCATTTTTTGACATTGCATACACTAAGTATAACTGACGACTATTTTTGTTTTATCTAGAATATCGATAGTTGGGATAATGAAACTAGATCATGGAATGGAATAATATATAAATAAGCGAAAAGCTGGTATGATCTGCAGGCATTAGTATAGAAACTTTACTTCACTTTGTAAAACAAATCTATATATTACTGAATCTTATAATTTATTTTTTACATTAATAAATTAGTAATTCTGATCATGGTATTTTGTTACAATTTATTTATACTAACCAATTTTTGAATTATTTCATCTTATATAAAAAATTATTATCAAACATGCAATCCACTGATTTATTGAGAGAATTAAATGCCAAGCTCTTAACTGAGATTGCTAAACTCAGAAAAAAGTTTGCTGAAATCAAGAATGAGAATGGTAGGCTTAAAAATGAAAATGTGAAATTGAAACAGATTATTAAAAAGAATGCCAGATATGATGCTAAAAATGTCAAATACAAAGTCAGAATCGAGAAATTGGAGAAAAATAGTGTAGATATTTCAGCCAAAAATGCTGAACTTAAAGCTGAATTAGTCAAACTAAGATATAATTTCGATTTCTTCAATCTTATGAAACCTCAGCAATCACAGCACTTACTAACGTACAAAACTCATGCTCTGTTGAAGAAGAAGATATATCATATGTGCCGATTTTTGGAATTAGTCTAAATTAAGATTTTTATAAAAATTTAATATTTTAGTAAGATTAACATTACACAAATCTAAATTAAATATGTGTTACATATTTACGTAACTCAGATTTAATAAAAAATAAAAAAAATTTTTTTAATCAATATTCAAAAATAACGGTAATAACCACTTCTTTTTCCCCATCACTGCCCATCACTTTTCCATCATTTTTCTATTCACTTTTATTAAATATGACAAAAAAGTTTATAAGCAAATATAGCAGTTATTTTTAAGTGGTAAGTAAAAGAAAAAACTTAATATTTTATATACATAGATAAGACATATTTTTTCATAATTTTTAGCTTTAATTTATTGTTTTTTCTTTGTAAAAAATACATGCAAATAAAAAATAATTATGATGTAAAATAGTTGTAAAATGAATAATAAGATATTCTTTTTTTTTCAAAATAACTAATTATATATTTGTTTTTTATCTTTTAAAATTATTTTATTAGATTTATTCTACTAAAATCCTTAAATGGCAAATAAAATCTTTTAAATAAAGTAAAAGAATTTGGGATTCTCTTATGAAAGCATTTTTTGGTAAGAAATAAAATTTTCAGATCGGACTTTATGCAGGTGACAAAATCGTGCATTATTATTCCTGGAGATATGCTAACGTCATCATTTTACATTCATTTGAAAGCTGAGAATTTGCTCTATCGTAAGAATCAAAGATCAGGAAAATTGGATCACTGGATGAGGCGTAATTAACGATCAAAGTCAAATCAAATTTAAAAATTAAAAATAAATATATTAGACGTAATTATTCACAATCCAGTGATTCAATTCATTCGATTTTAGGCTTATTAGATAGACCTCAATTTTCTCTTTCAAATGAATATAATTTCATTCGTGTAGCTTGCATCTACAGGTATTTAATAAATTTTTTTATATCAGATTTTATCAAACTTATAAAATTTTATATTAATAATATAATTGATGATTCCTAAACATCTACATATATTAAACGAATTATTTTAAATTTATTTTAAAGATAAAAGTTGGCATCACCTTAGGGAGCAAAGATCATTCAAATTGAATCACTACATGTGAAGTAATTAATGATCAAATTTAGATAAAATTCAATAAATATACTGAACGTGATTACTGAACAACTAGTGATTCAATTCACTTGATTTTAGATTCATTAGATAGATCTCGATTTTCTCTTTCAAATGAATGTAAATTTATTTGTATAGCTTATTTCTACGAAGAATTATCAATGATTTTGTCATGAGAGTTATATTTGATCTTTTAAATTTTAATGATATCTTATATTAAAAAAAAATTAAAAATTATATAATTAATTAGTTTTTTTTGCATTATCTAGTATAAATTTATTATTCTTATATAAATGATAATTTATATTTGCTTTAATAAAATTATTTTTGTGTAAAAAAATTAGATTCCAAGGATCGGCCCATATGTTAAAGATAACAACTGTACTACAACCAGATGCTGAGTCTAAAAGGCACTTCGCTTCTGATCCTGTAATAAATCAGCTTATAAATGGAGCAACTAGTGATAACATAAACATCAAGTCAATAAAGAAAAGGAAGACAGACGTTTTCTTAAATGAAGTGTATAAGAAAAGTGTTAGTAATAAGATTAAGCAAAAGAATAAGAAAAAGAAATTATTGCATGAATTAGTTATCCAGAACTCATCTTCTGTAATGAAGGACAAAAAATTTCAATTATATAAAGTGGAGAATATTGTACAGAATGTGTTTAATTTTACAACCACTTCGACATCTAAGAAAAATCATATAACTGAAATTTTTATAACGGCCTATCATAAAAAATCTGATACCAAAATATATTGTATAATCTAGCTTACTTAATACAAGAAGCATGGAATGTGAAAGATGAAGCAATTTGAGCTAATCAAAAAGAATTATTGTACTGGTATTCTTATATTATAGAATTTGATAAAAAAACTGTAGAGTTTATAAATAGGTATAAAGTTGTTAATAAAAAAACAAAAGGTATTATTTATAACAATCTTATTAAACTTTTTCCTTTTGATACTAAACGTAATACAATACTAAAACTAACTCATAGAGCCAGAAGTATATACAAATTATTTGAAAAAATAGAAATTGATAAAATTAAGTATATTACAACATATAATTAGTGTTCTGAACGGATTGAATCAGATCAGATTTGAGATGAATCCGATCTGATCTGAATTCGGATCAAAAAAAGTTGGATTTGATCCGATCTGAATTCAGATCAAAAATAATTGGATCCGATCTGATCCGAATCCGAAACGAGCTTGATTCGATTCGGTCTGAATCCAATTCAGATAAAACCGATCCGGTCCGAATCTGATCTGAATCAGAAGTTAAAAAAACGTTTTGCAATGTTTTTTTAAAGATTTATTTAATAAAAAACGTTGCGAAATGTTTTTTATTTCAATTTAAACGAAAAAAACCTGTTGCAAAATGGTTTTTTAACGAATTTAATAAAAACCGTTGCGAAATGGTTTATTTAACTAAAAAAACTGTTTTGCAACGTTTTTTTAAAATATTTTAATATAAACCATTGCGAACCAGTTTATTTAACTAAAAAGAACTGTTTCGCAACAGTTTTTTTAAATTGTTTTAGTATAAACTGTTGCGAACCGGTTCTTTTCAGTTAAATAAACCATTTCGCAACGGTTTACTAATTATTTTAATATAAACCGTTGTGAAACGGTTTATTTAATTAAAAAGAACCATTTCGCAATGGTTTTTTAAAATATTTTAATATAAACCGTTGCGAAATAGTTTATTTAACTAAAAAGAACC